CTAGATGGCTGAAACCAGATTCATGCTTTCTCTGTCACACTCAATGTCTGCCAAGTGCAGTTTTCTCTGCTGAATTGTTTTGTATGTTGGAGTAATTCTGGATCCAAGTGAATGTTAAAATTTATCTGGTTTCATTCTTTCACTTCAGTTCCTTTTTGAGGAGGAAGACCTGAAGCCAAGAAAGAAAATGATTGTAGGTCTGCCCAAGAAAGTGGAAAAAAACAACTGTATTTTAACTTTTAGACTACCACATTTGGTCACAACATTTCTGACTCCAAGTGAAATACCTATACAGCATCTTTATTTTTGTGGAAGACAAAGTAAAATCGTACTGTGCAATTCCTTCAGCTTGGATCTGTGGCTGATGCTCTTGACTGATTTGCTGTTACCGTACAGTAAGTGGTCAGGGGCTCAAGATAGGTCCTGGGTCATAATTCAGAGGTGAGATTTAAAGTTGCCTGATGTGAGATAAACCAGTCCAGGAATCAGTTAACTCTGCCAATTTATATTTTTAGATGCATCCATGTCCTCACATGTTGCGTTTTATTCTCCCCAAGCAGGTTCTGGAAGGGAGTGGTAGACGTGTTCTGTTTTTTTCTGAAAGGATTTAGTGGGTTATCCTCCCAACTTCGCACCTCTTGTCTTCTGCTGCTTCTCTTGGTTGAAAAGTAAATTTAATTTTTTTTCACAGAAAAGAAGGTATTAACATAAAACATTGTAAAAAGATTTTGCTATTGCAAAATGAAGATGATAGTGTATCACACGTGCATGTTGTCGAGGGCTACACTCAGGCATGTTCTAGAATTAAAAAAAAAAGAAAAAAAAGAGAGAAAAAGAAAAACGGGGAAATAGGAATTATTAGGAAAGATCCCTGAGTCTGTTCTTGGCCTCTGTGGGCTGGCAGTGTCAATCCCTCCACCTGATGATAGCTGACTGGTGCAAATGGGTGGAGGCAGCACAAGTGTTGGTGGTGACTGGTCTTGGCAAAAACAAAAGTTATGCCTAGTATTTTGCAAGTGGGACTTTCCAGACTTGTTTCTAGATCCTATTTTCACCCATCTCAAAGGGAAATGCTCTGCTTTACCAATAAATGGACATACTAGTCTGACTGAGAAATTCTAAGCATGCTGAAATCGTTGAAAATAGCTGTGAAATGGGATTTTGCATCACAGAAGCTTGAGATGGGGAGATCTGTTTGATCACCAGACTCTGTGCTGTCCTCAGCAAAAACTTGAGATGATCTCTCAGTGGAGGGTCCACACCACAGAATATTTATAGGAAATTGGTGGCTGCATCTGAATCTAGTTGATAAGAAAACCCGGTGTTGAAATGCTGTAATTTGTCTGAGTGATGGAATGCTGTCATGGTGTGTTATTCCTCCCTACCTAAGGTTTGGAGGAAAACTGTGACTTAATTCTTTACTGCTTCTGGTTCCCTATAATAGAATGAATTCCTCTCTACTGTGATCTTGTCGTCATGGACTGGGCCAGCTTGAGGTTAACAGGGAAATCTGGCGGTTACATGGTTTAGTGAATCTCCCCCAGTTAGAAGAAATCAGAAGTTGGGCCCATGTACGTAGATCAGCGAGTTCCACAGCAGAACCTGCCTTACAAAAAAGCAGCATTTCTTGTGCATTGCTTTCAAGCTTAGTGCTTAGCTTGTAAGACCCGTATTTTCAGGGCTGAGTTTGTGAGGAAAAGAAACAACACACTTACTTCTTAGAGTGATATTTGAAATTATTTTTTACATTTCTAGAATCCCTTAATTCCATGAATCCTATGGTGATGAGAAGTCAAAGCATGGATTTCTAGTTACAGCAGTTGTATGCTGGTTCTGTAATCCCATACAGAGTAAGCAGTTTGGTGAGCGTGTGCTAATGCCTCTGCCTGGGGTCATACTGGTTATTCAACTAAAGGGCAGAGATTTGTGTATTCACAGTACTGTGAACATACCAAGTTAGCTGTTGTAGTTTCCCCATTCTTTTCTGAGTTTAGCAGATTGTAGCTAAGCATTCAAATTCGGAACCTTCCAGATGGGATCCAACACTCTACTGTTTCAGAGCAGGCGAGAAAATATGAAAGAATGGGGCACTTGGTAAATGAGAAGACAAATGCCAGCATCTGATTTTTAGGCACCTGAATGGCTGTATGCATGAGGGACTGTCTTAAGTTAAAAAGATTGACTAATTCTACACTGACGTGAGGTCCCGTACTTTACCCCTGGCAGAGCTGTCCCATCTGTTGGTGGAAATGTTGGATATCAAGGGCTCTTTCTAGCAGGATTCTTTTTTAGTGAATTGAATTAATGAATTATATTATTACAGCTGCAAGTGGAATTTAAATGTTCATAAAAGTACTTTACACAGTACTTTGGTGTTCATGAAAAACTAGTTAGAGCCCTGTGGCCTGACATTTCCACTTGGAACAGAACCCAGTTCTTTGATGTTTTTAACACAAAGACAAGAAAAATCTTTGTGCTTGTGCACCTCATGAAGAAAATCCCTTATCAGAAAAGTGTCTCCTGCATGTTCTGCTCTGATTGAAGCAGGCTATTTTTTCCACATATTTAGTGTCCAAAAGTAGACCTTTTGTTGAAGTTCAGAGTAGCGCATTTACATTCCTGCTGGCTGGCTGGCAAGCTAACTGCTAAAATATATTATGATTTGGAATGTTAAATGCTTCCTCTAAAAGGTTGATGGTTGGAAACCACACGTCAAACCAAGGTCGTCAGCACCTTTGAACAGTAAACTTCCCCAGTCCAGAGAAAAATAATTAAACATTTTGTTCACTGTTAATGAAGCTGACAGTGCATTGGGAGAAATAGTTCTGTTTATTAGACCTCTGATTTACATGATGACTAAGAAAATGCTCTGAAAGCAGACATTTGTTAAACAGAAATGAAACTTCTGGTTTTTGAAATGTGCCTAGTACTTTTAAAAAAACCCAAACAAACCTACTTTTTATTTCAAGCAGTTTTAATTGTGTCTTCTAAAGGACTGCAAATTTCTGTATCTCAAAGGAGCGTTCAATATGCTTATGCTACCAATCTGATCTGTTCTCAGCTTCTTAATCATAGACAGGACTACTTTGACTGCCTCTAACCATTAATCATTTTTAAATGATTTATTATTATTAGGTTTTAAATCACATCTATCATTACCTTTTCAGGAGCACAGATTAGTTCAAGCAGCAGTTGAAGGCAGTCCATGAAAAACTTGGTGGTGATAAATGTGAACCTTGCTAGTGACATAGTGCAGAATCAGCTCTTGAAAATGCAGTAAATACTAAGTGTTAACTTTATATGCAAAGAACTGAAAGAGCTGTCCAGGTGTGGTGTGATTAGGAGCAGTGGTCGTTCACCTTGCGAAAGCATACACAAACATCTGATCTAAAACCATCCCTGTCAGATCTCTGTGGGTTGGTTTCAGTGCTGGTGCTGGCAAACAGCGTTAAAAAAAGCCTTGACCATTCTAAACCCCATGAAGTGAAGGTCCCCTTGAATATTTTTCGGTCAGAACTTTTACCTTAAAGAAAGTTTGTTTCAGTGGGGAATATACTGAATTTGCCCATGCTTCGCTGAACGGTGGGGGAAAGATTTAAACTGAAGAATTTTGGTTGTGTAAAATAGTTGTAAGTAGTGTGTTTTTAAAGCAAAATGTTCTCAACCTGTTTGAAATCACCTTTGCTTTTTGAAATGCATTTTATTTCATGCAGAAAAGTACTAAAAATAGTTTTTAAAGTGAAACTGGAAAAAAAAAATTCTGCTTGCCAGTGTCAGAAGAATTTAATTAAGCTCAGCTGAAAAATGTTGGCTTACGGAAAAAATCATAATTAAATGTTCTGTTCTAATTAAGAACGGAAAATTCTGAAAAATTATTTAAATATTCTAGCATCTACACAGGATAAACGCAAGTGAGATGGTTTGCAAAAGTTAAAGGACAAACCTGATGGAAGATGAGTTCTTAGTTGCAAACTTAGGGACAATGGGAGCAAGCTGGAGCATAGGAGCTTCCATGTGAACATGAGGAAAAACTTTTTCACTGTGAGGGTGACAGAGCACTGGCACAGGCTGCCCAGAGAGGTTGTGGAGTCTCCTTCTCTGGAGACATTCAAAACCCGCCTGGACACGTTCCTGTGTGACCTGGTCTAGGTGATCCTGCTCTGGCAGGGAGGTTGGACTGGATGATCTTTCGAGGTCCCTTCCAACTCCTAATATTCTGTGATTCTGTGAACTTTTTCTGTGCTTTTCAAGATAAAGGGGAACAATAATCAACCCCTTCGTCTTGGCCTATAAATTAGTGAAATCTGTGGAGTGATCTCCACTGACCTTCATGTGTTCTGGCTCAAGTCCTTCAAATATTTAGAAGCAATTTTTAATGAAAGCGTGAAGAAATAAATAAACTCTGCAGTACCTTCTTGATTGGGACATCTACTATGACTAGAAGGATAAAGGTAAACCTTGAATTTAGAGTATAAATAAGATGAGAGCTTATATATAATTCCAAAGTGCCCATCAGAGCATTAAGGTCACTTCAGCAGTCTTTCCTAATTCTGTTCCCTTTTAGGACATCTCTACATTTTTCTCTGGCAGTAATACCAGAAGAAATCTTTGCCCTCTTTGTTATTAACAGCCATATGTTTGGGGATCTTACAGTGTGATTCCAGTTGAATGACACAAATCAGGAGACAGTGAACTTCGGACCGAGGTTGGAAATGGGCAGGTAGTGATGAGGGGGACTTTTAAGCTTTGCCACCAAGGAAAAGTTAGCACTTAGAAATGGCCTTGATATATAAAAAAATACAGTGTTTTGAGTCACTAAGAGATGAAGCATTGCTATTGTTGCACTAGCATGTGAATAGTGATGCTAGAGTGTGAATATGGATTAAGTGAACTGAACAGGCAGTACGTACTGCTTATTAAGAGTCACTTGGACAGCTGCAGATTTAAATCAGTTTGCAAATGACCCTAAGTAAAATTTAGGATCTGTTTGTGTTTTCCAGGGTGTGCAGACTTGCATCTTCTGGACATGTTGACACCTACTGAAAGAAAAAGGCAGGGATACATCCATGAGCTCATTGTCACGGAAGAGAACTATGTCAATGATCTGCAGTTGGTCACAGAGGTAAGGCAGCACAGCAGTTTTAGGAGCAGGTTTTAATCATTCATCTTTTTAAAGTAAATAATAACTTCACTATGCAAACTCATATCACTACTAGGGATGATCCGTACTAAATTTTCATTCATATATATATATCTGTATAGATATATATGCATGTGTGTATGGGTGTGGGTGCAACTAATGTTAAGCCCTTGTGTTAACATCACTGAAACACTGATGTTTAAAGTATCATTCCAGTAAACTTTTTCCTCCTGATTTTGAATGTTTCTTTCTCATGTATAGATTCTTAAAGCTTGAAGCTCATTTTCCACATTCACAGTGCTACTTAGTTATCACTTACTGTGATTTTCTTTAAATATTACAAGGTGCATATCTCTTACATGGAAAAAAGGCAATTAGTACAGGCAACTGACTTAGACAATTCTTTTGACAGAGAAGGAAAGCCGCTTTTTGACGGATATGGTCAGGATATGCAAACTTGAGAGCCTATGAGGTGTCTCTTTCATAAAAGAGTCCAAAGTAAAAATTATTTTCAGTTTTACTGTCAAAATAATCCTGGGATATTTTGCAGGAGACCTCTGACTAAAATTCTCAAGTTTCAAACAGATTATCCAGGTCATAGTTAATACCAACACACATTTAGAGTATTCTCTTTTAAAGCCATATGCTGCTCACAAACACTTTATCAGGGAACACTGTGGGTCTCTAGAGCACGGCGCATGTTTGATGTCTGTTCTGCTGAGTGTCAAGCACTACTCTGATGTGGTTTTCTTACCTCCGAACTAAGGAAATGAGCATCATTAGTCTTAGTCACTTTGATTATACTTACCATATACTTTCTAAATTGCTTGATTTTCTGAATCTGTAGATCTTCCAGAAACCACTAATGGAATCTGAACTGCTAACAGAAAAAGAAGTTGCTATGATTTTTGTTAATTGGAAGGAGCTGATTATGTGCAATATAAAACTACTGAAGTAAGTTTTTTTTCCCATACTTAGCAATAACAAAATCATGAGCCTCTCCCCTCCTGCTTCTCCTTTTAGCTGCATGAAAATATTTGCCACTTATGCAAGTAGTAATCAAAAGAACTATGCATTTTTCCTTGTTGGAAAAGGCATATTATTAACAGTGTTTGCTATAACTACTTGTTGTTGAGAAAAATCCAGCAGTTCATTTCTGAATAAGTATTTGCACTTACTTTGCTCTTGGTGTGCACATGCTCCAGAAGGCAAGAACAACCTCTCCTGAAGAGTAGAGCCTGCCAAGGCTACCCACAGTCCTGTTGTAGACTTTTACTTTTACTTACCCTATCACAGCCCATACCCAGTTCCAGTCCTATTATCCATGAATACAAAACAAGGCACAATCTCCACTTCCCTTATTCTGTGTTAGCTGATGCATTTCTTTAGTTACTGTAGGCTTCTAGCACCTGAACAAGCTGTTTTGTGAGAAGCGGTGCCAACAAAGCCTGGTTTCCTCTGGATTTGTGTCCAGTGTACCCTGCACTCTATCTTCCAAAATCTCCAAATACTGCAACCCCAACTCTCTACCATGAAACTCCATGCAGTACAAATAGCCTTATTTCTTCCTTCATTCTCTGTGGCCTCTGACGGGTCCAGTCTTCCTACTTGCACCCTTCTCCCCCATCCCCAGTGTTTCAGCAAGACACAGGAAGTGCTGTGGCTGCTTTGGAGGCACGTGCACGTGGGTTGCTTATCTGGTCGTTGCCAGAGGAACTGAGTGAGGATTGAGTTAAACCTGCTTCTTCATAAACAAGAGGATTACTAAAGTTCCTTTTTCCCCTACTGAGCTGCTAATTTTTTTGAGTTCTAGGAATTTTATAACTTTGAGATGTCTCTTTTTCTGTAAAATGTATTTGAAAATGGCCCACAAGCTGAAAAGTTATGACGACGATAGGACAAATGCAGGCAGCTCAATGACATTCAAAACCCGCCTGGACGCCTTCCTGTGTAACCTCATCTAGGTGTTCCTGCTCCAGCAGGGGGATTGGACTAGATGATCTTTTGAGGTCCCTTCCAATCCCTAACGTTCTGTGATTCTGTGACAATAAACCTTCTTTCCTTAGGAAACCAGACTAAAAATTAAAAGTAGCTTTGAGCTTAAAGTAGCGGTAAGGTTTTGATCTGTCATTCATGAGTATACCAGTTTTTCCTTTCTAAACTAATTGAAGAGGAAATGACATTCCTTTTTATGTCGTATCTGATCTGGCATTGCATTAAGTTAATGTCACATAACAGTTTGGTGACCATGAGAGTGGAAAAATGTTGTTGGCTGAGGGTGCAATCTTGATTATTGTAATATAGAATAAATCTAGTGGCTGATCTGTATTATTCAGAGGTCTCTATTTCAATGATGAATAAGAATCAAACCATTTATTTCATAAATGAGAAATTATTCTTTACAAAACACACATGGCCTTTTCACATTTAGGGCTTTGCGTGTGCGTAAGAAGATGTCTGGAGAGAAGATGCCTGTGAAGATGATTGGTGACATACTGACAGCTCAGCTGCCACACATGCAGCCTTACATTCGGTTCTGTAGCTGCCAGCTCAATGGGGCAGCGCTCATCCAGCAGAAGACAGATGAAGTCCCTGAGTTCAAGGAGTTTGTTAAAGTAAGAAAAGAAACAATCACCATGAATTCTGCACACTGTAAATATAGCTCAACATTTTGCTAATTTGCAAAACATATTCTCAAATAGTGCTCTGTGTTGGGCTAGAATGAAGAATCTTCAGACTTAAGGACTCATTGAAGGAGTATTTGTTTTCACTGAAGGAATACATTTTTTCAAACAACTATAGAGCCATAAAATACTTTGTTTAATAATGGTTTTGCTGTAAAATGCTGTGACAGTAAGAAACAGAGAGTACTGAAACAGTACAATCCTTTCTCTTGTACAGGCAAGTTAGGTGAAGAATATGTTGTAAAAAGTACAAGAAATTCTGCTGCACTGACACTGTAATCTAAGAACAGATCTAATTGAGGTGTGGTTTTCATTTGTTGCCTTACTTTTTCCTTTCTTGGAGGAGTTCATTTTGCAGTGTTTTAAACAAACTCACTAACACCATTTTACCTCTCTAATGTTTCAGAGGTTAGCAATGGATCCTCGCTGTAAAGGAATACCGCTGTCAAGTTTTCTACTAAAGCCTATGCAACGGGTAACAAGATACCCACTAATAATTAAAAATGTACGTTCTTTTGCAAATATGATGGTTTTTATGCTGCTTTGCTTATAGCTTAATTACAGGGTAGTTACCGTAATTGTGTCAAGCTTTGTCACTGTTAGGTATCTGATGTGCTAGGGAATACGGGGTATCCTTTTAGGTTTGATTGCACAAGAGCAAATGCAGTAACTCATTTGGCTTGAGCGAAATTACTCTGAATTTCCATCAGAAACAGAGGTGAAACTTGCACACAAAGAACCAGAAGGCAGCTGAATGAAAACTTCAAAATTCGGATAATGGCAGTAGTAAGTCAGTCTTATGCTCATCTTTGCCATTTTCCAATGTCATTCCCTCCCTGGAGCCTCATAAATGTAATTCAGTGTGCAAGCCTGAATGCCAAGTTGCTGCAGGTTACCTTACTGTGCAGCTCACACTGCTGGATGACTTACAACCCTTTCCTAACTTTCATTTGTTGCCTAACACTTACCATCCTGAATAACGTTATTGAACTTGGCCCAAGACTCTCACAGGCAAGAATTATAAATTGAATGTTGACATTTAAGAGATTCCTTAAACAGTCATGGATATATTTCTGTATATGGATAGAATTTGCGTACTTATGTCAGAAGAGTGAGCAATGTACTGATGTAAAGGCTCTGCAGGCAGGCGTTCACTTCAGCTGTTCACAAATAGACTGAGTTTCTCTCCTATTTTTCATGCTTGTCAAGGAGGGAAAGAAATTTGAAACATACTGACTGGCTCTGATGAAAATAAATAGAACAGAGTGTAGGGCTGACAGTATAACACATTTTAACTGCAGATAACAGAAAAGGCTAATGTATTTTATTTATCTGTAGATAATAGAAAACACTCCTGAAAATCACCCAGACCACAGTCACTTGAAGCATGCTCTTGAGAAAGCCGAAGAATTATGTTCTCAAGTAAATGAAGGAGTGCGGGAGAAGGAAAATTCAGATAGGCTGGAGTGGATCCAGGCTCATGTTCAGTGTGAAGGCCTGTCAGAGGTAAAAAAAAATAATTCTAGATAGAGTAATGCAGATGTGGGCACACTTCTCCACCGATTGGGAAGAAACCATGGCTCACTTATGGCACTGCATCAGAGGACGACCAGTGTAATTAATCAAGTCCTATAATCTTCAATCCTTTGTTTTCATCTTTCTTTGGCTCCCTTTCACTCCTGCACGTAATCCTTTTTGCTGCTCGTGTTATTGCACTCTGTATGACAAATGCTGCTTCTGTTGCCTGCCGCTGGAGTAGTGCCATTTCCAACTGCCATTGCAGTGCCATTGCAGCCAGTAGCTGCAATTTCCAGCCACAACTTTTCGGATTCATAGCTCTTGATAGTGCGGTGGTTCTTGTACTGCTATATCTCATCCTGAAGCTATACCTGACCATCCTGGAGTGCTTTAATCACAGAAAATACGTTTTGTGATAAAACTTTGTATGCATTTTAGAAACTCAAGAATACTGATCTCTGTCATGACTTTACAGAGAGAATTACATATTATTTATATTATATATTTACCATTGCATATTATTATTTAAGTAACATGCTAAGCTTCTCTACTGAAACTATAAAGAAAATATTATGTTGGTATGTTCTACAAAAGGATGGAGAATGTTTTGATGGTCTCCCTATGTTGTGAAGACAACAGAGGCAGACAGATCACAACTCGATTTTCAAAGTACATGTTGAGTTTTCAGTTCTAGAAGATTAAAAAAAAAAGCACAAGTTGGTTTATAAACCAGAAAGCATTGCATTTCATCTTAGGAAATCCAACTGTTTTAGAAAGACAGGTATGACAATTTCAGAAGAGTCAGAGTCATATTCAGCTATCTTATAACTACTACCTGAAGGAAGATGGCTGCTTTTATCTTCTGTACATGATGTCTGGCCCTAGAACACCAGAAAACATTACGTGAAAAACCAGCTGGCTGCTTGCTAACGCACTGACACCAGTAGCAGCCTTGAATCAGTGGTAAGGAGTGGTCCCGCCTTCCTGCAGTTTTCTGACTGAGATGTTTCTGGTCTGTAAAAGGAGCCACTCCAGATCGAGCTCTGTGGCCAACTAGGATGGCAAGAACTGTAGCATCACCTGGTGAAAATAAACCTGAAAATGACACTTTAGGAAAGAGCAAGCCTCTAATCATCTGGTAACCTCCAGATGAGCCTTAAATTCTGCCAGTTCCAGCCACTGGTCAGCAACTGTCCTCTAATTCCAGGTAACGTGGGTACACAAAGGCAGGCTTTCTGGAATTCCTTTGGTATGTTTTAATGGGTGAAATTAAGCACAGTTCAGAAATCCAGGCCTTTGTAAGCAAGCTCAGCATTTGGAGAGGCCATTTGCTTAACTACTGCGAATCCAGGACAAGTCACCGTCAGCTCAGTTCCACTCACAGAGATGCATGCGCGTGGCAGAGAAACTTGAAAGAAGGCACAAATGCTTTTGGCTTTTCTCTGACTGTCCAGACTATGCCCCATGCAACTGATGGGCTGCCTCAAAGTTAATCTTCATGTAGCGTTTTATGACTTGCACTGCTTATCATGCGCAAGACAGAGACATTGCTCGTCATCCCTGTGGCACAAATTAAAACCAATGTCAGGACTCAAAACTGTATTTGATCTCTTTCAGGGGAACCTCGATTGTTTTACTTTATACAGTGCGTTGTTCTTCTTCTTCTACTTTTCGCAGCAACTCGTATTTAATTCTGTTACAAACTGCTTGGGACCACGCAAGTTTCTGCACAGTGGGAAACTCTATAAAGCCAAGAGTAACAAGGAACTGTATGGCTTTCTGTTCAACGATTTCCTCCTCCTGACTCAGATCATAAAACCTCTTGGCTCTTCTGGCACAGACAAGGTCTTCAGCCCCAAGTCTAATCTGCAATACAAAATGTACAAAACTGTAAGTACCACTCTTAAATGGTGCCTAAGATGGTTATATGCTAGCAGTGGGTATAGCAGGCAGCAGCTCCCATACTGCATGTGCAGGCAATAGCTTTCTTATAGAAGGGGCTGAAAGTTTTGGGATATGCTGGGGATTCCAGAGACTGATGGTGAGGAAGCTGGTTGTTTGCTTTAGTGAAGTAGGAAAGATGCTCTTGAAGTTTTGCTAAAACAACCTCTTCAGCAGAGGTTGCGTGATGGGGAGAGTAGTGTTTGATGCTCTTTGTAGGAAAAGAGGGATTGCTGTGCTTCATGAGGCTGCTTTCTTACTTCAGGAAAAGTGTTCCCAGACCCTGGAGGCACATATATCTTTGATAATAAGAAAATGCCAAAAATGTCATGTCTGAAGAAAGATGGGAGGCAGACAGAAGGGGAAAGATACTGCAGGCACAAGATAAATCTGTTGTAAACTGCTTTGTGTTGAATGCATCTGTTCAGATACTGTGCAGTAGAACTCTAGCTTTGCCTAATGTTTTACAGCCCATTTTTCTAAATGAGGTACTAGTAAAATTACCCACAGACCCTTCTGGAGATGAGCCCATCTTCCATATCTCCCACATTGATAGAGTCTATACGCTGCGGGCTGAAAGCATTAATGAAAGGTAAGTATCTGCATAGGCCGTGTTAATTCTGAATTTGAAAAGTCTGGTGCAGATGTATATGATGTGCACATGCGTAGCAGTCTCCAAGCAGTTTAACTTACAAGACTGGAGAATTCCTTCTGCTTGAGAATACGGTGATACTCAATATATGAAAAGGAGGGAGAAATAATGTTTCCTGAATTCCAGTAAGGCCAACAGTGAAATGGCTGGGAGGGTTGATACATGGGCCACATTTCAGAGCATGCTCTGTTAGTATAAGGAATCCGAAAGATGCAGTCCTGCCTTCTTCTGTTCACATCCGTTTGTTTGTGCCAGTGCAAGCAGTTGTATGGCTCTGTGTTGAATGAGATGCAGGAACAGGGCAGAATTAGAACTTGAAGGAAAACCCTACCAGACAAAACCCAGTCAGTTTTTAACCTGGTTCAACTCAGACTGAAACAGGCAAAAGAACGGCAAGCTCAAAACCTCAGTTGGTGATTTTTGTCTCTGGCAAGCTGAAGGAGACAGGATTACACTGAAAAGGTTTCTCTGCACAAACACAAGGTCTTGAAAGGTAACTTATGTTAAAAAGTGAAAGCTGAAAGTCCAGCAGAATTTCCCCCATAGAATAGACATCATATTAGGCCACCTTGAAATGTGTTGTCTCTGGAAGTTCTGATGCGTAAAAATGTATAAAACATCTTTGCTCCCTGCCTACCCAACTGGGTGTGTTATTCATTATTATTTATGCATACATAGCTTTTCTTTCAAAAGATTGTACTTTTATGGATCCTTCGGGATGCTGTCTGTCCCTCTGTGCCACAGAATGAACAAGCATTATGGTTAGGCCCTTGGTGATGAAAATTGACACAGCCTTTTCAACTGAGGATCTGTTGCACAGATCAGGCTGTAGCAATAGTCATCTGTCCTGTGTCTGAGCACTCACAGTGGGGGACAGAAACATCTAAACTCTGCACCGCATTCGTCCTACCTCGCTTGAGAAACTTCAGTGAGATGCTTAGGTACGCTCCACTGAACCATTAGTGGAAGCAGGAGCCACATCCTCACATGCTGAACACCCTCTGGAGGTGCCTGCCTCTCTCCATTCACTACAGAGTGAACCCATAGGAACTGCTATCTGAATTTGGGCCCTCTAGTCAAATCATAGAATGTCTCCAGGGATGGGGCCCTCCACCACCTCACTGGGCAACCTGTTCCAGTGTTTCATCACCCTCATAGTAAAGAACTTCTTCCTAATGTCTAATCTAAACCTACTCTGCTCTAGTTTAAAACCAGTGCTTTTACTTACATAGGATACAGCCATTGAGTTTCTTTTATGTCGGAATTGCTTGCTAAATAAATGCAGCATTTTAAGTGAGATACCTCCAGGTTTTCATCATTCATTTGCTTTTAATTAAAGAGCAACAGAAATAAAACATTAGCATCAGTGAGTGATTAATTTGCCCATTTAATCTTAAAAGACCTTTATGATCAAAGGCCTGGTATACTTCTGAAGCTGCCGTTTACCACTTAGGGCTCAGCTGGGAGACAGAATTGTCCTTAAGTGATCCTTAGGCCTGGATCGATGGTTGCACTCGATGATCTTAAAGATCTTTTCCAACCAAAACCGTTCTATTATTTTCTTGAACAGCTCTCTGTGCAGAATACAGGGGAGTGTCCAGACTCAAATCCAGGCCAGTGTAAGTAGCTGCAATGCCCTGTAGAGCAGCAGCTCTTCATTTTGGGATCAGAAATGGATCCACATTTCTTCTAAACCTTTGAGGTCCCTTGGTACCCCTTCTTCCACGCTTTTTCTCTGTCAGTGTTTCCACTCAGTCTCTTAAGTATGAAATAATTTCCCAGAAGGGCCCATAGGGAACTGTGGTCATTCATCACCTGTGTACTCCCTGAGTTATGCTTCCTGTGTCCTGAGGCTCCAAAGGGTTTTGGTATGAAACCTTAGGGATCAGGAAAAGTGGCTACCTCTGCAACACAGCTATCTTGTATCTACTGGCTACAAGAAGTTAGTTTGTTACAGTAAAGCTTTGTGAAAGCAAACCTGTTAGCTATAACTTTTGGTTTCTCAGAAGCCCCTCCTGCTTATGATTCTTTTGAGATTTTTTTGCATGGTGGGATCTGCTCGCTTGGGACAGTTAAATTATTCTACAGGTGCTAGGATTTCCAGTAAGATCCCTTCCAGGGAGACAGCTCCAGTGTAGTAAAGGCTGTGGTGGGCCAGAGCCTTAGACTGCAAGTGACTGGGAAGGAGAAACAGTTTTACTTTTGTCTGCTGTGCTCCAGGGAGGAAAAATGGAAATGCTGTTTTGCAACCTTTTTTTCTTTTCTTCTGAAGGACTGCCTGGGTTCAGAAGATCAAAGCTGCTTCAGAACTTTACATAGAGACTGAAAAGAAGAAGAGGGAAAAGGCCTACTTAGGTACAGCATGGGATGCGGGGGTCTTATCTTTTGTGGGAAGTCCAATGGCAGGAAAAGACATTAATGACCTTTCTCTCCTGTTTCACCACAGTTCGCTCACAAAGAGCAACAGGCATTGGGAGGTTGATGGTGAATATTGTTGAAGGCATTGAACTAAAACCTTGCAGGTCCCATGGTAAGTGCCTTGGGTTCTTCATACTAGGCTCTGTGATGAAGATATTCCTATTTGTCAGATGCACTTTGAAGAAGGTTCTGTCCAAAACATGGTTTTGTTTAATGAAGCCATTTTAATGAACTTAAAATATATGGAAGTGATTTTGTGCAGTTCAATAGCAGTCGTCCTGCACATAAGCATTTGTTTCAGACAAACTTAGTTTTTACCATGTAAGCCACATCATAAGCCACAATGTCCTGAAATGAAGAGTGGAAGGTGCTCAGTGCCTTGCAGACTTGTGTCTCTATTCATTATAATGGCTGTGAGGCCACAGTCTTTCCCCTGTCTGTTGGCTATGGGAGTACAAAGACATTTAGGAGGAAGATCACACACCTAAAAATGTGATTATTCTTTCCTGTTTGTTCCCATCTTCCTAGGAAAGAGTAACCCGTACTGTGAGGTGACGATGGGCTCTCAGTGCCACATCACCAAGACGATACAGGACACCCTCAACCCAAAGTGGAACTCCAACTGCCAGTTCTTTATCAAAGACCTTGAGCAGGACGTGCTCTGCATTACGGTGTTCGAGAGGGACCAGTTTTCCCCAGATGGTACGTACGGGGCTGTCACCCTTCCAAGGGTATTTTCAAATCTCGTGTTTTGAAGAGATGCACCCATTCTGAGGTAAATCATAGAATCAGAGGATGGTTTGGGTTGGAAGGGACCTTTAAAGATCATCTAGTTCCAACCCCAATATTGAACCCCTTTGCATACTGGGAGCCTACTCACCCTTGCTTCCCACTGGAGTCATGCTAGTATCAGCGCAAAAAGAACCAAGCTGTCTCTGGGATTTTTTGGGTTTCCTTTCTTGTGCAATGTGACAACTGAAGTCTGGTTTGCAATTCTGCTGTCTTTAAAAAAACACTGGATGCTGTTTGCAAATGAATAGATTGGGGCAGGAGGAAGAGAAGTGTTTTCACGTTCCTGTAATATGCAGTAATAGTGACAAAAGATTAATAACCCCTTCTTATTTAATAACCTAGGATAGACATATGGAGCATTGAAGAGTGAATTTCGAGTCATGATCTCTCAGGAAGTATTTGGATAGGATTGTCATTCGTCTGGCCAGCACCAGTTGGCCCTTTGACCTTCTGTTGCACTCCTTGGCTCTGTCCTCTCCAGAGGGCTTCACACTCAATTCAAACTGTGCAGCAGCCTTTGACCCTTTTACTAACATACTGTATAATAAATAAGCTACTTAAGCAAGGCAGCTGTGAATTGCATAGCAGATTTTTCTCTTTATAGGACCATTTATTTTTAATGCTGCTGCCGTTTAATATGGTCCAGCTAAAATCCTCTTCTATGCAGATTGCCAGCCTTTGACCTTCTTTGACTGCAAAAATATGGACTGAAGACTTGTTTTCTCCTTTTGTTGTGTGTAGATGGAAGCTTAGTTCCTTCTGCAAATTAGTGTTTTATTGCAATGTAAAACGGTTGTGTCATTTCTGAGTATGCTGTCTTTTTGCATTTCAGACTTTTTGGGCAGAACAGAGATCCGTGTGGCAGACATTAAGAAGGATCAGGGTTCAAAGGGACCAGTTACAAAGTGTCTCCTCCTGCACGAAGTCCCAACAGGAGAGATAGTCGTCCGACTAGACCTGCAATTGTTCGATGAGCCTTAGAAGGAAAGGGACCAATGTTTTATTTCAGTCTGAGTTCACTGCAATAGGTGTCTGCAGAAGCTGTCACAAAATCCTTATTAGTGTGGTATGAAACTACTGCTTGCCCTTCACACGTAAGAGGGTTATCAAAGCAAACAGGAGCATCTTTGTGCCTTGATAATTCTCACTGAAAAATGAAGCCCAGTTTAGTGAGGAGATCTCCCTCGATTTCTCTATGTGGACCTTGACGTGAGTTTTCTGGGTTTATGAAATAACTTGGTTGTTTGTTGTGCTCCAGTCTGAAAGGCTGGCAAACCACATAGGTTGCTGTGCTTGCTCCAGTTACCCTACTCTTTAATTTACATGAAGAAGGCAATGTTGGTATGTTTTGGAGGCTTTCTGCAGGGTTTTCCCCATCGAGGAATTCTGTGCCTATTGCTCAGCAAAGTGGTGCGTAAATGTAATGTGAATGGAAGGAGCAGTGATGCAGTAAGAAGGTCTTTGAAGATCTTCATGGCGGTACTGAAAAGACTTAGAAAATAAATAGTCTATATCTATAAACAGAGAAGATTCTATTAACATACCACTTCATGACTCATCTTGCCCCTGAAAATACATTATGTACAGGCCTTCTGCACAGAGATGAATTGCACTCCAGAAGAGTCCACCCACTCGGTACCTTTGGTAGTTGCTGTTTTCTGTAGGACTGTAAATGTTCGAGCAGTAAGTGAAGGATTAAACATAGAGCCCTGCTGAATGTTGTGCTGTACTGCTTCGATACTACTTTACTACTGCTGCCTGGTTGTGTGACCACAGATGGATGATCCGGCACCTGCAGCGGGGAAGAAAAAAACCACGGCCGTAGCTCAGGAAGCCGATTTCGACCCCACAGAGTCCAGTTTGCAAAGCAGTCGGTGGTGAGCAGTTACTAGATTTTGTATGAAGCCTGGCTGTGTTTGACATCGTGTGGCCGAATTCAGGGCAGCAGCGTGCTCGTACTGTGGCTCATGAAGGTGTTTGTAGCAAGCCAGGGTGATCACAGGTTCGGTGGCAGCGATACCGGATGCGGCCAGAAACAGATTGCTTGTGATGGTACAGAGTGGGTAACCCCAAAGTAAAAGCCTTGTCATCTGGGTGAATGCCAGGGCTTATGCATCCACTTAACTCAACAGATACACAAACATAGGCCCACACCCAGCAAACTTTCCCTGTTTGGCAAAGCACCCAGCTTTAAGCGTCCACTTACGTCTTGTTTCCCTTAAGCATGTGTGTAAGTGCGTTGCTGAGTCTGGGCCCGAGAGACGGTAGTAGCCCCCTAAGAGTAAAATTCCTCTTTGTTCTGCTTGGATTCATTTTGTCCATGCCCTATCATGCATACACTGGTATTTTTGTAAGGACTATATTTCCGAATGGGAGGTGTCAGCCTGTTTCGTTAGCATGTGAACGTTGTTGTGGAGCCTGTTGTTAGGTTTTGGTGTTCCTTGCATGTCCTTTCAGTACTGGTTTCCACCTTTCCTGTATAGGCGGTGTTCTCTAGCACTACAAGTCTTATTGATTTCCGTTAGGAAATTAGGATATATTCATAACAGATAGGTAGATACAGTATGGTAATAAGTGTAAACTGTGCTGGGAAGTGTCTGTGTACTATAATTTCGTAAAAGACCACTGTAATGTTTCAAGCAATGGGAAAAAAAATAATGTATGTTGGAGGGACAACAAAGTTTACATTTCATACTTTTCAGAATCGCTTTATTATTTATTTATTGAAGATAGTGTAGAATTTTGTATCAGAAATGACAGACATACTTATGTATTTTTTGAAACAAAACAGAGATACACACTTTAGTTAGAAACTTTCAACTGACCACGTTTTAGAGGGAGTGTAACTTCCTAGGCATGCATTTGTTTACCACTAACTGGTTGAAAACACGATTAAGAGAACTTTAAGTTTCTATTTTTCAATGTTGTTAAGAAAATTGTTTCAATTAAAATATGTAAATAGTACTAAACCCATGCTTTCCTAATTCCATATCAATACATTTTATTGAATATAATGTATATGAAAATACACATTGTTGTGGTAGGATTAAAAAAAAAAGTGATAAAATCTATTAATGGAGTAACATTAAATGTCATTGCCTAACCTTTTATTGCTGTCCTAATTTTACTCAGTAGCTGTAAATACATTCATCTCAGTGTTTAAAATGTAGCATCACTTTTTTATGATATCATTTCACCAGCATGAGTTACAGTAACAACTAAATAGACAAACAAGGGAAAAAAAAAAAAGAGCGTGGGTGTAATGCAGAAATCCTGGCCAGGCTTTCGAAGGGAGCCTCAAGGAGCTGCACCTTCCCCTGAGAGTCAGCTTGTGTTGGAAGCGGGGTCCCTGTAGCTGCAGAGGCTCCTCTTAGACTGTGACCCTGGTCATGGGCATGTACGATTGCACCGTTTTGGGGAACTGTAACAGAACTGATCACCTTCTCGACCACCATCACTTGTGATTTCCCCCTTACCCTGATGCACAGCAATGTTTAACTCCCGTTAACCTCACTAGGAGTTACGCAAACGTGATAGTGATGAAAGGCTGAGGTTTGGCTCATGAATATCTAATGAATCCCTCATGATTGGTCTAATCCTGAAAAGGAGGCTTGTCCTCATCCCTGTGCATTGAGGCAGAATGTACATATCCCCTTAGAGCAGCCAGCTGTGCATCGGGATGTCGCTATTTCATCGCTTGCTCTCCCTCAGCACTGTAGCGTATTGGCTCCAGCGGCTTTCCAGACAGACCTGCTTTTCGACAGGGTTAGCCAAAGGTTCTTGGAAACCCAGTGACCCCTGCCTGGTTTTCCCTGTTCAGTCTTGCCCATCGCTTTGTATTATCTCCATGGCTGCGTGGGCTGCAGGTTTCTGCTTTTCTGCCCACCGTAGCTGCACAGACTTCCTGCTCATCCAGGGCTTCGTGCTGTGAAAGCTCGGGCCTTTCACTGAAAAACAAGAGGCTCATTTGCTGTATTCCTACCAGTGCTTTCATAGAGAACACTGCAAACTCTCACAGGCTTGTTTACATACCCGTCTGTGCTCTGACGAGTTTGGGGAAGGGAGAGGCACACAGCAGTACCTAGGAAGCTGGGCCTCTTTTTGTGTATTTAGAAAGTCAGCCGGTGTTACCACAGTGTACAAAGGTCGAGCCATCCTCTTAGGAGTGCCATGTGCTGGCTGTCAGGCCAAACTCTGCGAGTCTGTGCTACCACGATTGGATACCTGTATTTATGTAGCTCCTGTTTCTCAGATGCTGGTTATTGATCTCTGAATATCTTAGTAAAGTAGCACATCTTAGCTCACAGGTCCCTTTCCAGCCCCGTCAAGATGTGTGTAAACTTTTCCTAATGTTGTGCAGAACAACTGCAACCACAAAATCGAAGCCCAGATAATCCTTGATCACATTATGGATTGAAAGAGCAGATTCATGCAGATAAGCATCCTCACTAAAACATAGAGGTTGTAAACCTGTATATCATGGAGTTCTGGGGCTGGCTGGCTGCATTTGCTTTGGCAAAAGTCATCCTTGTAAAGAGGCTGAGTTCAAGGTCTCTTTGTTACTTGTCCTTAAAATGAGGCACTGGTGAGGTAGAACTGATATGTGAGTCACTGGGACCGGCCCTTGAGATGGGGTTTCATTGCTACCTTCTAGCAGGCTCTACTTTTTTTGGAGAAGATGTTTTGCTTAGGAGCAATTCTTCAGCATCAAAGTCCTTGGCTGACATTCAAGTCTTTCTAAAAATAATACTGTGACTTTTTACTGCAATCGCTGCCTTCATTGAAACAGTGGTCTTGCTTTGGATAAACTGGGAGGAAAAAAGCCCTGAGAGAAGAAAGAGCAAAATGCGCAGCTGTGAGAAAATGTGCAGTGGAAAAAGTTGCACCAATAGTTTGGTTTCTCAGCTGTAATTTTGGGAATTGCATTTTTCCCTTAGGTACATTTATTTTAACAAGGAGAATAGCGGTTTTCCCTAGTGCTTCCTTGGTTTTAAGTCTTGTAGTAGAACTGCATTAATCGGTCGGAAACTGGAAGGGAACACCACCACTTTTAGAAATTATTAAAGTTACTTTTAAAAGATGCTGGTAGCTGGAAATGGGCAGAATGTCAACGTTGCTGTGGCTGCAGACAGGCCAGGGTACCAAGGAGAAAGGAAAGCAATAGTTTCTTCTTTTCCTTTTTTGTGTGGGGGAGGTGATGGTTAGTTTAAAATCAGATCCACAGTCTCACAGAACTTCGATTATCCAGAACCCCAAGCATCCATAATATAACAGCAGTGATTAATAACAAACCACATGTTTGTGGCAGAGCCACACTGGATTTAGTGCAGCTCTGTATTTATGAGTTTGCATGCACTTTTTTATAGAAGTGGAGCTTTTTGGTGTTTGTAGCAGCCTTTGTACTCCTCTTTCCAGGAATTACCTTCTGAGATATACCTCTGAGGTGCTTAGGCACTGTGTTGTGTCACGATGCTTTCACAAGGACTGCGTAGGGTTGTAAGTGTTGCTGTCGGGCTCTTTGCTTTCCTGGTGCCATCCAGGCAGCTCTCACCACTACCCAGGAGGTGCACGGGTACGTGCCCTTTCCATACAGGGGATTGGCTGCACCAGCATCAATGTGCCAGTTTTCTGTCTCTCAAAGTCTGTACTCATGTGAGGTATTTGCCAGCAATGCCAGGGTGGATGTCTTTCCTTTCACCCGTGCGTGTCCCCATTTAGGACCCCTCCATCATCGCTCTGACTGCAGTCAGAACCAGCCTGGTCTTGTTGATCTGCCTCAAGAGCATTTTCTCCCTGAGGACAGGAGTCAGCCCTTCAGAGAGGCCTCTAAGGGAAACCACCTGAGCTCATTTTCCTCTGCACTTGGTCAGATGAAGCTGAAAGTCCTTACATCCAGGGCAGGCCCAGCTCTCCCCCTTTCAGAGGTCCACCCTGCCACCTGAGCATGCATCCACACTGTCCTTCCCTGCAGGGCCAGGCTGTGAGCCCGCACTGTGAGCCCGTAGCCGTAGTTCATTGCCATTAGGGTTGAGGCTCATGTTTGAGATCACCCAAGTCCCCTCCTGGCCACGATTTTCCCCACCTGCTGGGCCTGTTGGCACCCCCCAAGCCAAACACTGGCTCAGTTGCACAAATGCAGCAGGTGACTGGAAAACACATCTCACTGTCCTGCTCTGTTGCAGTCCCCCTAGGTTTTTCTTCTGTGTAGGTCTTGTGAGTAACCTAGTGCTTCTGTCCTGTAATTAAGTAAGTCCTTTGGAAAGCACCCCTCCTTCCTTCCCTTTCACCCAAACTCCCAGAGCTCAGCTGTGTGACATGGTGCTGTTTTAGGGACTCCTTTCAGGCGTCTCCCTCCCAGTTCATCTGGCAGCTGCCATCTCTGCTGCAGCCCTGTGCTCAATGAAGCATTTCAGATGCTTAAATTTCATTCATGCCCTAATTCAGTGCAAAGGCGCACATAAAGCCAGCCGGGTGCCTGAGTCCTTTGCTGGGGACACATGGAGGAATTAAAAAGGCTTC